CCTCCCTATAATTTTATTTAATTGCACCTTTTTACTTCATTTTCTCAACCTAGGTCCTTTTCTTTTTTTCCACCCTTATCTCAAAAGGTAGATATTGAAACTATTTTCAAAGTAAAATGTTCAAGGATATTTACATAGTTAACGCTTTTCCATTTGTCTCTTACATCACAGCACTTCAATTAGCGGAGAAGTTGAAACTCACTCTAGTGACTGTTTTCCGTATATACAGGTACAGAGATCATAAAACATTGACCATGAAAGTATTAGTTATGGGCACATACACATAAAATTAATAAGACTTCACATAATAATCAGAGATAATATGCTATATAGCAAAAAATGCAAACATAACTTTACAGATTAGCATTAATACATATAATTGGCAATAATGATGGACTTAAATATTAAAATTCCAGTAGGAAACTTTTCATTGTTATTGCTAAATAGAGGGAATGTGATGGTTAAGAACATGAATTTTAGAGCAAGATTTCCTGAGTGCAAATTCAGGTCTGCCCATGCTAGCTGTGTGAGCATCAAGTTCTTCAACATCTCTGGGCCTCTATCTGTAAAGTAAGGAGTAATATTAATTCCTACCTGATAGAATTGTTATGATGCTTACATAAGAAATTATAGATAAAGAATATAAAGCAATGGCTGGCATGTTGTGAATTCCCAGTACAGGTTAGCTTTTAAATTAAATTTCTATATTGTAGAAATATTATTGACAGTCTAGATGAAATTAATCAATGACTTACAGATTTTTTCATTTCTATCTTCTAGCCCAGATAAAGATTAAATTGTATCTTCAGTGTATATTCAGTTTAAAACCTGAATGTCTTATTCATGCTACTCAGAAACTCTAGAGCTTTTGCTGAAGTTTAGTTAATCTTCTAGATGAGGAATTGTTGCACAAAGCGCACAGAAAATTAATTGCTTTAATTTATTTATGAATTGCTTTAATTTAATTTATTGCCCTTTTAATCTAAGAAACTGCTTTTTCAGAAATCAAGATTGTGAAGACTTTAACAAAACCCTTAATTTTAGTGAAGCTGATATTTTTTCTTTTCAACAGGTCTATTATAGCAGTGGTCATAGAGAAGCAGAGTTGAAGAGTCAAAATTCATTTATAACTTTCAGATAAATAAAATGTGCTTTTGGAACCTTACTACACCTCTTAGTAGACTTTACCTCATCAAATAATAAAAAGGGACACAAAACTGACTTCTTGACAACATTTTGGACTAAGTGAGGATGCATTAAATCAACTGCCTGAGGACAAAAAAGTGTTAGTCATCCCACGATAAATGGGAACTGACAGATCTATGAGGGGTACATGGAATCCTTTTATTGTTTATGCTTCTACCTCTCAGCTTCGTCCTGAGGCCACAGGCACCTGGTGTTCTGTGCTGTACACACAAAGACTGACATTTGTTTTTATCTATGAAAAAACGTAGACACCAGAGTAGCAATGAAGTCCCAGTGGTCCTTTAGCTACTTTGAGGCTTCGCTGTCATTACTGGATAGTAGGAGAAATAGAGAGATGTTCAAAATCAGTTTCATGTTTTAAAATATGCATACCTACCCAATAGCCGGCATTCTTCCTGTTAAAGGAATCACCATACAATCACATGTAAGCAATATGAGATTGGAAAGTCTTCTTTTTAAATTAATTAATTAATTAATTAATTAATTTTTCTTTTTTTATCTCTATTGTTGAAAATATTACAGATGTCCCCTTTTTCCCCCCATTGATTCCCTCCACCCCACATCCATCCCATGCCCAGGCCTTTCCCATACCAATGTCTGTGTCCTTGGGTTATGCTTATAAGCATATAAGTTCTTTGATTAATCTCTCCCCACCCACTCCCCACCCTCACCTTCCCTCTGAGATCCCTTAGTCTGTTCCATGCTTCTATGTGTCCGAATCTATTTTGTTCATCAGTTTATTTTGTTTATTACATTCCACATATTACTGAGATCATGTGGTACTTGTCTTTCTCTGACTGGCTTATTTCACTTAGCATAATACTCTCCAGTTCCCTCCATGCTGTCCCAAAGTATAAGAGATCCTTCTTTTTTACANCATAATACTCTCCAGTTCCCTCCATGCTGTCCCAAAGTATAAGAGATCCTTCTTTATTATAGCTGCGTAGTATTCCATGTTGTGAATGTGCCACAGCTTTTCTATCCACTCATCTACTGATGGGCACTTGGGCTATGTCCAGATCTTAGCTCTTGTAAATTGTGCTGCTATGAACACAGAGGTGCATTAAGTTCTTTCTGATTGGTGTTTGGGTTCCTTAGGATATATTCCTAGAAGTGGGATCACTGGAAGTTCTTTTTAAAAAAATAAGTGTGAAATTCCTTTAATTTTATCATTTATTCCCACTCTTCCACTAACATGCATCCCAGTAAATTTTATGTATATTTTTAGCAACTGAGAAAAACCTTCAGTGTACGCTCTCCTAAGAGAGAGTTTTATTTTCCCCACCCCTTGGTTTTCACTCAATTATTTACTTTCAACAACAGAGTTGCAAATTTCAAATTAAGATGACCTAAAAATTCACACATTAGTCTGAAAAGACTTTGACATTTATCCAAATGCTACAGCCCTGAAGGCAGTAAAATAAATGCAGGGAATGATAATGTGATGAGTATTCCTGACTCAGATCATGCTGAAGGCAATAATACAGGAGGCCTGGATTTTAGTGAGTTTTTCAAGAAATACTAAGTAAAGGACTTATTATGGCTGAGCAATTGCAAAACAAACTTATTCCCATCGCAATAATTTTAGAATTTCATTATTGCAACACTTGAATCATTTAATTAGAGAATAATATACTCTAGCATAGATCCATAATTGATTTAACTTGTCCATCAGATATTTACAAAGTTTTATGCCAGGATTTCTCTTTGACATTTAGGTATCTTTTAGAGGAAGATGAATCAAATACATAAAAGGGATTGGCTAAAAAGTAATTTGATCGTTTGCATAAATAATGCCCCAATCAGAGAGAAATTTCTGAAGCCGATCTGTATGCATGCCTATTCTTTAGCTTTCCAATTGTGAGCCTGGCTATCATCAATGGGCTGTGAGAATCCCTGTTTTTCTGTGACCCTAGTACTGTGCACAGTCTCATTGGTACACAGTCACATTATGTGAGTTTTGCATGAATGAATGAGTCAATGTATGCTTTCTGTTCAGCCTGGAACAGAAAAGATCACAACTTTCTAATTGGAAAAATAACAAAAAGGAAAGACAACCCCTCTGCATTTGGGGGTTTAGAGGAAGGCAGTATACCATGAAGTTGTCACTAAAGGCTTGGGGACACAACGAAGGGTACAAAAACTAGAAACAGGTATAAATAAAACTAGGGGTAATTTATTAGAGAGACATCTAATGTAGAAATGTGACTGCTTCTAAACTTATGAGTAAGAAATCAACATGAGCTATTTTATGGTAAAACTGCTAACACAGGGAAAAAGTGTTAAAATCACTGCACAGTGATTTAAAGGAAGGAATTTAAAGGAAGAAATTGTTTATTTAAAGGAAGAAATTATTTGTTTATTTATTTTCATTTCCAGTTTTATTCTTAAATTCTCAGTCTTCTATTAACTCCTTGAATATAGTAAGCATATTTATTCTAAACTGTGTGTTTCATAACTGCGATATAGGCCGCCCCTGTGGACCCTTCCCTATTTTTTGTTGTTTCTGCTATTTTGTTCATAACGTTTTATCACTTTATGCGCCTATTTTTTATTTGGTGCTAACACATTGTTTACAGAATTGTTCATAGAACTAATTTTTTAAAGAACAGTTTGTAGCCAAGAATGATATTTTATGTATTTTATATTAGGTAGCTGGAGGCATGAACAATTTAAGGTAATCTCAATTTAATCTCATGGATGGAGATAATTTAAAACTAAGCCAAACTCTCTAGGAGTTTCTGTGTCCTGTGCCCTTATATTCTGAGTAGGAATCTTCATGATACAACCTCACTGAGGCAGCTTCACCAGGACCTACAACAACTGGGCAAGTCCTCGACTCCAATCCCTACTCTAATCGCTATCAAAAGCTCTGCTCAGGCTCTAAAAAAAAAAAAACCCCAAAATATTTTTGTTGTTGTTTTTAGTATTGATAGTAGATGATGTATAGTATTTTGTTTACCCCACTCTTAACCCCCTCTTCTATTTTTTCTCCTTTATTGTTAAATGCTGTGATTCAGTCTTGTTGGGGGTAAGCTATAAAGGTTATTGTCCTGTAGTCTCTTCTTGTATTTATTTATTTACTGACATTTATTTATGTATTTATTTATTATTCCCATCCTCCTCTTCCTTTGGTAAGCATCAGGTTATTCTCTATATCTATATGGGTATGTTTCTGTTTTGTTTTGTTTATCCATTTATTTTGTTTTTTTTAGATTTCACATTTAAGTGAGATCACACAGTATTTGTCTTTCTCTGTCTGACTTATTTCACTTAACATACTATTCTCTAGGTCCATCCTGTAAACTGTCATATGAAAGGCAGACTATTTGTATTTCCCTAATAAATAGTGAAGTTGAGCATCTTTTCATATATCTTTTGGACATTTGTATGTCTTCTTGGGAGAAGTGTGCATTCAGGTCCCCTGACCATTTTTTAATTGGACTGTTTGTTTCGTGTTGACTTGTAAGAGTTGTTTATATATTTGGGATATTAACCCCTTGTCAGGGCAGTTGTTTGCAAATATCTTGTCTCATTTGATTGGTTGCCTTTTTGTTTTGTTGGTGGTTTCTTTTGCTGTGCAGAAGCTTTTTAGTTTGATATAGTTCCATTCATTTATTTTTGCCTTTATTTCCCTGGCCTTTGGGGTCCAGAGGGAAGGGGATGGTGGGTAGTAAAGGGTAAAGGGGGTCAAATCTATGGTGCTGGAAAAAGATTTGACTTTGGGTGGTGCGCACACAATGCAATATACAGATGATATATCATAGAATTGTACATTTGAAACCTGTATTATTTTATTAACCAGTGTTACATCAATAAATTTAATTAAAAAAAATAATACAGGGCAAAAGATTGCTAGAATTTAAACCCTAACAAGCTAAACAGGCTCCCTGGTGACATCTTCCCTGAGTTGCAGATGCTTGTCACTGGGGTGCTCTAGGCTGTTCATGAGGAATCATGCCCCAAATCCCAATACAAAGCAATGGAGATTATATAAGTTCTTGTGGTCCATACAAGCAAAACACACCCCCACCACCAACACCACTGTCAACACCAAAAACCTGCAAAAAAAAGAAAAAATATATTTTTTAAACCTGCTTTCATTATCTGTCTCAAAAACAAAGTCTGGTTTAAAGTAAAATTTTGGAACAAATAAGGACTGTATTTAGCATTTTTCCCATTCTCTTCCTGTGCCCCTCCCCTATGCCTACCCCTATACCTACCCACTAAATTAATGCCCTTATTCAGCCCAATAGCCCTTCTGACCACACCTTACCTGAGCACACTCACTGTTGGCAGTATCTTCAGCTTGAAATCTTTCCTTATACTCTAATGTAACTACCATTACTTTGAAAACTCATGTCTAGTATTCCAGACACATTTTTTATTAAAATGCCATGATCTAGAATAAGGCCTGGCACAATATACATGGATGTATTAAGTAAGTGAATTACTGCACACTATTTTTTGTTTCTTTGTGTTTGATGTTGAGAACGTATGCATTTTAATAAAGGAGTCTCATTTTTGCAAATGTGTTTCAAATCCTAACTGATGATACAATGATGAAAATGATATTTGTAAATATTAAATTAAATGTAAATATGAATATGTTCATTACTTTTTGCTGTTGTGATTTTATGGTCCAGAAATCAAGAACATTTATCAGCCACAAGAATGTAAGACTTATTCTCCATAGTTAAGGGTCCATAACCCAGGAAATTAAGCAATTGCTTAAGAGTAGAAGTGATAAAGATGGTTCAGGAGGAAACAAATGAGTCATTTTTATTAATTAAAAGGGTTATTTTAGAAAATAAGCCTAATTTACCAAGAGGGCAATCAAGTGTCCATTGCACTTGGTTCCTATAAACAGTGCTCAGGCATCGTCCTTGGACTGGTTAAGATCAACTTAATCACCCTACTATGTCTCAGTGTGAAGGCAGGGGTAGCATTTTAAGATCAAACTCTGGGCCTTTATTCATGTGCCAAAATAGAGAGTTCCTTGAGAAATCTAGAGGTGTGCTTAAAGTGGAACTGAGTTTTTGAACAAGTCTTTTAAGGGTCTTTGTCCTCACTTTCTTTAGCGTATTTAATCAAAAGTTTAGAGCCATTATATTTGATTTGAAGGTCAGTAAGATATCTCATGCCTTAATAAAATAGGTAAGGGAACTAAAAGTAGAAAAAAATTAAGTATATTAGAGAATGAAAAAATGGAGAGAGAAAGGGAAGATAAGAGAGACAGAAGGAGGGAGGGAGAGAGAGATATGCACTAACTGCAGATTAAATCAATAAAGTGTTTAGGAATTTTGACTATATAAAATTAATGTGAGTTGATGTTCTTAAATCCTTTGACAGTAGAAATAAGCAAGAACATTTATTTTAATCCAACTTCAGCTTTCTATTTTTTAGCTTGTGATACTGTACTAACACATCACAAGAAATGAAAACACATAAAAACACCATTGGAACAAAGAAGAAGTAACCTTTTCCAAACCAAAACATGTATATTTCTGCATTAAAATGGGAAAATTAAGTTAATATACTATGATAGTCATCATAGCCATACACACAAAGATNACCTTTTCCAAACCAAAACATGTATATTTCTGCATTAAATTAAGTTAATATACTATGATAGTCATCATAGCCATACACACAAAGATTCTTCCTCCCTCTTTTTCTATACATGGAAAAATTACAGTCCCCAAATAACATGAAGCTAAATTTGTCCATGTGGTTTATGTAGGCCAATGAAATGTGACAAGTGACACACCCATGACACATGTACTTTTTGGATGATGGAGATGTAAGAGTTGGTGTGTGAGTTTTAATGTGTTCTTTTTTAATTCCTCTGTATCAGTAAATTCCAGGCAGACCTTGGTCCAGAATTGAGGGAACAGTGGAGGAAATTTGCCCAGCCAACCCAGGTTGATATGTAGCATGAATAATAAATAAATATTACTATTTCCAGCCACTGAGAATCTGTGCTTGTTTGTTACAAAGCCTCATCTAGTTATCCTGCCTGGTACATACAAACAGAGTNTCCAGCCACTGAGAATCTGTGCTTGTTTGTTACAAAGCCTCATCTAGTTATCCTGCCTGGTACATACAAAGAGTGTCAGTGTCTAAGGCTGACAGTGGCACAAATCGTAGTGGCCATACTAAAGAGTTGGTCCTAGGTCATTAAAGGCTTATTAGAAGTTGATATATGGCAAAAGATACAGGTTTTGCCATTTCACTTTCTCCCTGTGGGATTTTGGACATTTTATTCTTTGTAGCATAGTTTTTCTAGTTTTCTAGTGATTAAATTATCCATTATAGTAATATTGGGCACAAAATAGACAGACATCAGATTTTAATGCTTTTTGCTTTCCTTTTTTTTTTTTTTTTTTTTTTTTTTATTTTTTTTTTTTTTTTTTTTTTAGGGGGGGGGGGGGGGGGGGGGGGGGGGAAGAGAGAGAGAG